TCGAAGCGATTTGTTGGAATATCTTAGCGCGATACGTCGGGAGCTTTAAAAAATCGGCTTTTATTGGTGAAGCTTGGAGTTTTTTTTTTTTTTTTTTTTTTTTTTTTTTTTTTTTTTTTTTTTTTTTTTTTTNTTTTTTTTTTTTTTTTTTTTAAATAAAATTATTCTGTTCTCATTTTGGAGACGAGTCCATGGATTCGTCACCAAATGTTTTATCACCTATTGCAGTCTCATTCGACTGCAGTCGAATGAGACGACAATGGGTGCCCCTGCATGCCCCTCACTGAGAAAAAACTATGGCTTATAAACCTATTAGAGGTAAATATGGAACACCACTAATAGTAGTACCTCTACATATAATAATAGCACATATACCTTAGTTATGGTCTCTGTACCTTAATTAGGTACAGAGACCTTAGTATGGTTCACAGACCGAGAATCATTAGTTTATTTACGACTATTATAGGTGTTCCATATTTACCACTAATAGGTTTATAAACCATAGCTTTTTCTCAGTGCTGTTGGTTGTGAGGTGAAGCAATTCTAGGGCTCAGCCCTAATCTCATTTTTCCCCGTTGTGAATATTTTCCCCCAAAATTTTCAGACAATTTTGCACGCAATTTAATCTCATGCATTTGAAAATTTCAAGAAAAACTAGGCATGAATATCGTCAAAAGTAGATGTTTTCCGTGTTGTGAATATTTCCCCCCAAAATTTTCCGACAATTTTGCACGCAATTTAATCTCATGTATTTGAAAATTTCAAGAAAAAATGCGCATGAATATCGTCAAAAGTACACGTTTTATCAAGGGAATTATGGCAATTCTTGAATGTTCATACGGCGTTCTTCCTTGGCACGGCAGTATAAGCCCTCAACAAGTGCCTTGCACTGCCTGTTTATCCATTGGTTCCGGTTTTTCCCGCGCTACCTGCGTTCCCGATCGCGGCTGAATTTTTCCGCGGGACGCAGAGGTGTGGACGGTGGGGTAATAAGCAGTGGCGTGGCGTGAATTGCGATGTATCGATTGTTATGCCTTTAAACCTATGGTAAAGAATCGATCATTAAGGTGTTCGCTGTGAACACCCTATTTATCGATCCTTTTCCATAGATTTAAATGGCATAACAATTGATATATCGCAATTCACGCCACGCCACTGGTCTCATTGAAAGTCCCGCGGGAGCCAGCGGGGGCTGGAGGTGAGTTAGCGATGGCCGCTCTAGGTGAAATATGCGGAATATGAAACCGCGGCACTGGGCCCCAGGCCCCCCTCGGATGCGTCCGATGTTGTTATTGTTCCCTTCGACACCTCTCGACGCCACCGCCGTGAAATACGCCCCTGGTAGGGCACGCATCCGCACTGCCGTGCTTAGGAAAAACGCCGTATGAGCCTCCAGACGTTGCCAAAATTTCTTCGACAAATCACGAATCTTTAGGAAAATTTTCATACAATTTGCATGAAATCTTGATCGTGGAAGGTTTTTTTTTTTTTTTAAAGAATAATTAAGTTTTCATTGAAAACTGGAAAGATGCCTGGAAAGAGGCTACGGGGACGTCCCGTAAAGGGTTGGCGGCCGGGCGTTGATGGAGAGATGTTGCGGTGTCAGTTGCCCGATAACCTCTTGGAAGACTGGCATATGTGTCGTTTGGGTGTCGTAGAACGCCAGAGTGCGTTGTAAAGCGACTATATGTATATACATCATTAATATAAACTTCGAAGGATTCTGCCTTTTTCTATTTCACTCGAGGGGAAGTGTCCCCTCCCGGACTCTCTTCCCTACCCGGTGACTGACGCTGCGCTGTGCTGAACGGTTCAGCCTGAACCTTTCCCCTACGTCTGACCGTTCCCCACTCCTCTGTCAATCGAACCATATGCCACCGCTTACGTATTGTCGCTCGCCCACCCAGGTACTTAGCGGCCAGCGGTCAGTTGATGATAAATCTCGCTCATGCTCCTATGCAGCTACGCATTGATTACGCCAGCTAATTACGCCAGCTAATTACTTTCTAATAATTAGAATTNGGAGGATTTTGCTCGAAGTTTGATCTAAAAAGACTAAAAATTTCAGGGAAAAGTATTTATAATTTTCTTTAAAAATCGATGTTTTCTGAGCGGAAATTTGGCAACATTCAAATGCTCATACGGCGTTAACCTGACCTAACTCGAGCAATCGGTCATCCAAACAAGTTACAAGAATTGTATGTCCTCATATAAATTATGTACGGAAACTCTTCCGAAAGCTTGCGGAAACGATAGCTTCAGTTTGAACTCACAAAATGAACACAGTATCGAAAAAGTGCGAGGAAAAGGAGCTTGTCGACGGCGCAGAGATACAACTATACATCCTTGATGAATGTGTGCATTGTGTCTGCAAAATTGAAGGCGCGATGACGCGAGGTGTACACTGTACACTGGCAATGCTTTGCTCCATGTTGTTAGTGAAGTGTCGTTGCTATTCGGGAGAAAAGTTAAGGAAAGACGCCAGATTAAATCTTCTCCATCTCCGGCTGTGTTGTTGGTGCAGCCTTCAAAGCACCTCAACAATTAAAACAAATGGAAACTACCTGAGTATGGAAATGGAGCACAGGAAAGGAAGCTTGTTGATGACGGCGCAGAGATACAACTATTCGTACTCGATGGATGTCCGTGTTGCGTCTGCAAAATTGAAGGCGCGATGGCGCGAGGCGTGCACTCGCAATGCAATGCTTCGCTCTGTGTTGCTAGTGAAATGTCGTTCTTATTTGGGAGAAAATTAAGAAGCGAGGCCGTATTACGTCTCTTTTATCTTCGGCTGTGTTGCTCACTTAGCCTTTAATAAAGCTCTACTACCAATTTTATGAATTGCCATCGTCAGAACATATCCAGACAGCGTTTGTCAGAAAGAGAAAAAATAATCATATTTCAAAGGAAACGCCTTGCAATTCACAGAAATTGATAGCAGATACTTACTTTAATGATGCAATCCGATAGAGTCGGTTCTTTTCTTTTAAACGCCATTTATCACACCTCTGGTTTTACCCAATTCGGTTCAGTTACCGAGCTATAATTAAACCCGTCTCTTTCAATTTTTTTTTTAAAGCCGCGCCGCTACACCTAGNGTCAGAGAAAATCAAGAAAAACTCACAATAAAGTCTAAACTGCTTTAAATTTTTAGCAATCGGTCATCCAAACAAATTGTAAGAATTTTATGTCATCATATAAATCATGTGCGGAAACTCTTCTGAAAGCCTACGGAAACGATAGCTTCAGGTATTCGCTCATTACGTAGCAAAAGTAAATTATTAGAAAGAATGTCAACCTTTAACCGTGAGGTGGACTTAATCGTCCAAATCCTGTAAAAATTCAATCGAACAAATGGCAACGAAAAGAACACAGTATCGAAATAGTGCGAAGAAAAGGAGCTTGTTGACGGCGCAGAGATACAACTATACATACTTGATGGATGTCCGTGTTGCGTCTGCAAAATTGAAGGCGCGATGACGCGAGGCGCGCACTCGTTATGCTTCGCTTTATGTTGCTAGTGAAGTGTCGTTCCTATTCAGGAGAAAAGTTAAGGAAAGAGACCAGATCAAATCTTTCCCATATCCGGCTGTGTTGTTGGTGCAGTCTTCAAGGCACCTCAACAATTAAAACAAATGGAAACTACCTGAATATGGAAATAGAGCACGGAAAAAGAAGTTATTTGATGACGGCGCAGAGATACAACTATTCGTACTCGATGGATGTCCGTGTTGCGTTTGTAAAATTGAAGGCGCGATGGCGCGAGGCGTGCACTCGCAATGCAATGCTTCGCTCTGTGTTGCTAGTGAAGTGTCGTTCTTATTTGGGAGAAAATTAAAAAACGAGGCCGTATTACGCCTCTTTTATTTCGGCTGTGTTGCTCACTTAGCCTTTGAAGCTCTATTACAAATTATGAACTGACATCGTCAGAACGTATCAAAACAGCGTTTGTCGGAAAAAAAACTATTCATATTTCAAAGGTAACGCCTTGCAATTCACAGAAATTGATAGCAGATACTTACTTTAATGATGCAATCCGATAGAGTCGGTTCTTTTCTTTTAAACGCCATTTATCACACCTCTGGTTTTACCCAATTCGGTTCAGTTACCGAGCTATAATTAAACCCGTCTCTTTCAATTTTTTTTTTAAAGCCGCGCCGCTACACCTAGACAACAGATCCTTTAGCTGCCCTTTTATCTATTACAAAAGATCCAGACCATAGATAACCATCGTAATTAGCACCTCTCTTTTTTAAATGTCCGATGCTACAATCCCATGCAATTGAATTGGACGTATTTAAATTAAAAAGAACTATCTCTACGTGACCTGAGCTCTGAGACTCATTAGAGGTATGCGTAACAGGGTCCATGTCATAACCGATATAGTTTCTTTCGATGTATATACGTACAAATGCCCAATTTGGATCAGTGGCGTGGCGTGAATAATCGATTATCGATATCTCGCCATTTGAAACTATGGTAAAGAATCGATTACTAAGGTGTCCGCTGCGAACACCCTGATAATCGATCTTTTTTCATAGGTTTAAATGGCATAACAATCGATATATCGCAATTCGCGCCACGCCACTGATTTGGATGTACTTTGAAGGAAATAAAAACGGTCGCAGATGAGGGCTCATACTGCCGTGCTGAGGAAAAACGCCGTACGAACATTCACGAGTTGCCAAATTTCCCTTAATAAAACATGTATTTTTGATAACATGCATGCATAATTTTCTTCCTCGAAATTTTCGGATGTTTTCGATTGAATCGCGTGAGAAATTGTGTAAAAATTTTGGGAAAAAACATACACAATTTACCAATGAAATTCGGTTTTTATCGAAGGAAACTCGGCAACGTTCGAAGGCTTATACGGCGTTCTTCCTCCGCACGGCAGAATCTACCCCGGATTATTTATCGTCGTTGCCCGGTTTTTAAATCAATTATTCACACCTGTTATCTGGCGACGGTCTAATGTGTGTGATTATTCTGTTGCGCAGGCGCAGGAGCGACAGCAGCGCCGCGGCGGCGGACCCCGGCTTCACTCTCATCGTCCTCTCGGGCACCTCCGGCGACTCCACTCTAGATCTTCTCGATAAGTCCCTCACATTAGTCACGGTAAGTCCCACTGCACTTCTTCAACCCCCCCCCCCCCCCCCCCCCCCCNGCCCCCTGTGGGACACCCGCTGGGACTCGTCTCGTCACCGCGCCGATTCATTCCCGATAGAGTTGAGTCTGCTCTCGTTTTGGATTGCGTCATGATCTGACGAGATTGGTGTCTGCCTCTGCGGGCTGATCGTTGAAATTGATAGACAAAGCGATAGACACAGAAGACATAGAGAGTAAGAAGCGATCCTTTTGGTGGAATAGGGTGGCTCTTTTAGACTAAGGGAGAAAATGATGGACTAATTATCGGGTTTCTCGTGGGTTGTTGTTAGTTAGTCTATCACCGACGTCCTTTGTCCATTGCAACCACCCGCTTCCACCAATAGGATCTCTCCATCTCCATATCCCTTTTTTCTTCTTTGTCTATAGCTTTGTCCATAAATTTCAATAATCGACCCGCCGGCTGATTGTTGAAATTGATAGACAAAGCGGTCGACCAGGGTGTCTAAAAGTCCGGAAATAGTACTGATGTTTTAAGGGCGGTCCGGACGTACTGAAAAAGTTCGGAAATTCCGCAAGAACGTCCGAAATTTTACTCACTTTTTTGTCATTTTTGTCGCAATTTGAGCGAGAAATTCAAATTTTTGAAATCTTTCGAATCTCGTCAAATGGAGGTACTGAAAAAGTGTTGAATTTTTCTTTTGAGGAGGTGCTGAATTTCTTGGGATTGCACTGAAAAAGTACTGTAAAAGTACTGATTTTTGGCCAGCCTGTTTTAGTAGACACCCTGAAAAAGTAGACGATAAGTATATGGAGGAATCCTATTGGTGGAAGCGGGTGGTTGCAATGGACAAAGACTAACTAATGGTTGTAATAGACCAACTAATGGCAACTTACGAGAGACCCTTAGTTCATCATTCATGCCGTTAGTCTATGAGTAACACCCATTTCAACTAATAGGATCGCTCCCTACTCTTAACATCTTCTTTGTCTGTCGCTTTGTCCATGGATTTCAACAATCAGCCCCCAGGAATGGGTAACTTATTCGCGTTGTGGAAGGGTTTTTGTTTGGGTTGCTCGGAAAAAGAAGCTCCACGTTTTAGGAATTAGTCGACGGTTAAGAAACCTAGGTTTTGCGAACCGAGGACTTCAGATGGTGCTTTCTTGTTCAGAGAATTGAGCCCTTAGCTGTGACAATCAACCGCTTAGCTAACAGAACTGACTTCAGTTCGGTGAATTGAAGGTTCAGCGGTACGAATCACAGAGAAACGTCGGAGAATCTCATTACCTAAATTCTGCGGCAACTATGTGGAAAGTATCAAAGAGTTCCAATGAAAATTACAATTTTAGGAACATTTGGATTGCATTTTGAAATAAGGAACCAGGGGAGCATTGCAATGTTGCGAATATTGTACAACCTCACCTATTGCAATATAACGATTTATATCCTGAAGAAGTATGAAATGTATATAGTAATTTTTATCTTAAATTTACAGATTTTAGCCGCAGTCAAATAGAAACTGTTTAGAGATAATCAGGTGTTCCCTCCAAAACAAAAGGAGCTTCATAATCTCATATATAGCAATATTGTTGTGCTCCTAGTTCCTTTTTGCAAAATGCAATCTATTCAGAAAAGTCATATGGAGTGCATTTTGCAAAAAGGAACCAAGGGCATTCCAAGGTTGCTCTGATTGTGCCACTTTTTTACCTCTCAAAAATAAACTGATCATCTAAACAAGTTTATTTTACTCCCAATAAACTTTAATTTCAAGATGAAAATCACCCTTTAAATTTGATTTTTGGCAGGATTTCAGCAATCTTATTGCAAGGAATGCAAGTTGCGCAATCTTAGCAACATTGGATTGCTCTTGGTTCCTTTATGCAAAATGCAATGCATATGATGACAATTTAGCCATAGCCATAGCACCTCCATGCCCTCGCCGTGACAGTCATCATCCGGTCGATGACAGACGTCATCAACGGCGAACACTGTGGAGAATGCTCGAATTGGAGGTCTAATTGAGTCGAAAGGAATTCCGAAATTCCAGTTGCGCAGGAGATTCGCCCCGAGTCGGGTTGCGTTGCGTTCCGTGGCGCTGCCTTTTCGGGATGCTGATCTGATCTGGTTCCGATTCATTTCATCTGGGGGCCGCGGCCGCGCTCCGCGAGTGCATATCTCGCCGCTCCCCCGACGAAAGGGCGTATCTCACTTTCAACGTGGACCCTGTTTTACACATAAATCAATGCGTCTCAAGGCTCATGTGGAAATCTAGATACGCCCTTATGTCAGATGGACGACGATCTGTCAGTCTTGAGAGGTCCTCGAACTCGACGACCCCGACGGGCGCCACGCTCGATCACCCATTGTTGTCAGCTCACGCTCCACCTGCGGGCCGATTATTGGAATTTATAGATATAGACAAAGTTATAGACAAAGTAGACATAAGGAGTAAAGAGCGATCCTATTGGTTGAAATGAGTGGTTCTTATAGACTAAGGGAGAAAATTATGGACTAAGTATCAGGTCTCTCGTGGGCCTCTAACCAAGCCACATCGAGCTGATCTCGAAAAAATTGATGTCATAGGATTACTGTTCATGCATTTCTAAACCGATTGCAATGGTTGAAGTTTGAATTCCATTCTTCCGCTTCCATTGGAATTTGAATTGAACATGATTTTTCCCAATCAAGTACTTTTGCAGTGAGATGAAGCATATCCTTTGCCCATTCAGATCAACCAATAACTCGAACCACCTTAAAATGTGGATTGGTTCGATTCTGCCAAACGCGGTCCAATTGTTAGGGAATTTTACCAAAATATGATCGGCAAATAAGGGAATTTCATTCTCTAAGTTCTGTGACAACCCTGAAAGGAATCACGCGCTCTCATACACTGTTTTTAATGTAGCCCAAACGAGCACACCCCATCTTTCCCACCCTTCTCTTGTCCCTTCTATAGCATAAATGCGTCCATTTCAAGAAGTCTCTCCATAATTTTGAAGACGAACTTTTCCGTACGATCGGTCAACGGAGGTCCAACGCCTGGCCTGGGCGAGGGCAGCGCGGAAGAGGACGGCGGGCGTAACAATGGTTGGCAGCGGCCACGCACGTTGCGGACTCCCCATCGACCGGGTCATTTGGACGGATTTCTGCCAAACGGAACTACGTGCATCCAGACATGAGCCCTGAGACCCGTAAGAACATACGCAAAACAGAGCTCGCGTCATAATGCACATAGTTCCGTTCGATAGAACCGCGTCCATTTTGATTAAATTGATTGGGCAGCGTCCAGCGTTTGTCCGCCACCGACTCGATTGTCACCAGATGCTTCCTGTCGCGGACTCCGCCACCAGGACCAGGAAGTCCCGGTCTCACCCAGCGTTCTCTCTTCGGAAGTCTCGATTCGGGTCCGGTCGGATTCGGATGACAGGCCGGACAATGAGCCAGCGTTGTGTTCATAATCGGCTGTGGAAGTTAAGCCGGCTTTCGTAAAATACTCCCGATCGTTCACTTGATTGATCGCGAACGGAGTGTTGTACGATATGTATCTGTGATCCATCTTGCAGGATGGATGCCAAGAGAAACCTGCAGTTTGAAACACACACCGGAGAAAAAACACATTGGATCTAGAGTTCAGGCTCTTGAAAACATCGACAAGAAAAAGTACTCTTGATTCAATCGGATTTTTGCTTAAATTAAGAACCAAGCCTCTTAATTTGAGCGGATTTTCTTTTGATTTAAGCTTAAATCTGATTGAATCAAGAGTATTTTTCCTTGTCAATGTTTTCAAAAGTCTGGACTCTAGATCCACTGTTTTTTTTTTTTTTTAGCGCGGATTNNCGGGGGGGGGGTGCATAAATGGGGCTGGGGGACTCCCCCAGAAAATTGTTAAATTATTAAAGCATCTAACATGCATTTTGCAAAAGGTAAAGTTATTAAAATTTCAATTTGCCATGCTAGAGATCTAAAATTTTCAGGTTGCTGCAAAAAACCACAGCCTCTATCATTCTGTCAATTTATTCAAAGCAGATTGGACGAATTTTGAAAATTTGGTTGTTAACTGCTCTCGTCAACGACACAGCAGCCACGTTCGAACGCACCAGTCGCGGACATTCAGACATGACCAGAAGCCATTTTATTAGGTGTCGTTTCGTTGACTGATTCCACGGCGAATTCGCCACGCTTTCCTCGGGCGAGACCGGAGACCCGCTTGCATTGGCCATCTCGATGCCGATGGAGGCAGCCGCGCTCAGTGATACCGATTTCCGACACGCTTGGCCGAGTGTGACGAAACCGCGGCCTCCCATTGGTCGGCTCGAACATCAATCCGCAAGAACTCACCCACTGCAATGGCTGCCTACTGCCAGGAGTTTCAAATGGACTGATAGCGCTTCTTCTCTTTTGGGAACAGCATAAACGCGAAATTGATGAAACCGTGGCCTCTCATTGGTTGGCTCAAACATCAATCCGCAAGAACTCACCCACTGGAATGGCTGCCTACTCCCAGGGGTTTCAAATGGACTGATAGCGCTTCTTCTCTTTTGGAAACAGCATAAACGCGAAATTGATGAAACCGTGGCCTTTTATTGGTCGGCTCAAACATCAATCCGCAAGAACTCACCCACTGGAATGGCTGCCTACTGCCAGGGGTTTCAAATGGAGTGATAGCGCCTCTTCTCTTTTGGAAACAGCGTAAACGCGAAATTGATGAAACCGTGGCCTCTCATTGGTCGGCTCGAACATCAATCCGCAAGAACTCACCCACTGCAATGGCTGCCTACTGCCAGGAGTTTCAAATGGGCTGATAGCGCTCCTTCTCTCTTGGAAACAGCATGAACGCGGAATTGATGAAAATATTGTTTTCTAAGCTGAACTCAACGTAAACTGTATCAAAATCGACATAAGAGTGGAATAATTTGTGTTTCAATTCCTATGAACAGAGAGTCACAAAAGAATACAGTGCTGTTCACTGATTTTATTCTTCAAAAATGCAAAAACGCGTTACTGGTAACAT